GAAAGAAAGAAAGAAAGAAAGAAAGAAAGAAAGAAAGAAAGAAAGAAAGAAAGAAAGAAAGAAAAGAAAAGAAAAGAAAAGAAAAGAAAGAAAACTATAAGCCAATATCATTGGTGTACATAGATGCAAAAATCCTCATCAAAACACTAGCAAACAGAATCCAACAAACCATAAAAGAGATTATACAACATGATCAAGTTGGGTCCATCCCAGGGACAGAAGGATGTTTCAACATATGCAAATCAATCAACATGATACACCTCATCAACAAGAGAGAGGACAGAAATCACATGATCATCTCAATAGGTGCAGAAAAATCATTTGATAAAATTGAACACCCATTTATGATAAAAACTCTTACCAAAGTGGGTATAGAAGTAACATATCTCAAAATAATAAAAGCTACCTATGATAAACCTACAGCCAGCATAATACTTAATGGTGAAAAGGTGAATAAAGCCTTCTTGCTACAGTTTACAACAAGACAAGGATGCCCACTCTCACCACTTCTATTCAATATAATATTGCAAGTCCTAGCCATAGCAATTAGTCAAGAAAAAGAAATGAAAGGAATCCAAACTGGAAGAGACAGGATAAAATTGTCATTATATGTGGATGACATGATACTATATATAGAAAACCCTAAAGACTCCACACAAAAACTACTAGAGGTGATGAAAGAATTCAGCAATGTAGCAGGATACAAGAATAACATACAGAAATCAGTGGCATTTCTTTACACAAACAACAAAAATATCAGAAAAGGGAAATAAAGAAATAATACCTTTAAAATTGCATCCAAAAAATAAAATATTCAGGAATAAATCTGACCAAGGAAGTGAAAGGCTTATATGCAGAGAACTACAAAACACTGACTAAGGAAATTAGAGATGACTTTAAGAAATGGAAAGATATCCTGTGTTCTTGGATTGGAAGAATTAATGTGATTAGAATGGCTATATTACCCAAAGCCATCTACATGTTGAATGCTATCCCTATCAAATTGCCAAGGACGTTTTTCAGAGAACTAGAACAAATAATCCTAAAATTTATATGGATTCACAGAAGACCCAGAATTGCCAAGCAATATGGAAGAAAAAGAATGAAGCTGTAGCAATAACCCTCCCAGACTTCAGACAATATTACAGAGCTACAGTCATCAAAACAACATGGTACTGACATAAAAACAGATGTATGGGTCAATGAAACAGAAAAGAGAGCCCAGAAATAAATCCACA